TTTACATAAAGTAAGCAAATAGACAATTGAAAAAATACATTTGTGTTTAACAATGTTCAGTCTGGTCATCTGGACAGTTTCTTTTCTTTTTTTGTTTTGAGAGACATTTCACCCTTCCATCCAAAGGGCTTCTTCAGTCTGCGGAGTCACAAACAAACTGTTTTCCCCACTAAACAGTACACTCCTACAATGGACCAACCAGCTTGCTGGTGATAACTGGTTGGTCCACTGTAGGAGTGTACTGCTTACTGGGGAAAACGGTTTGTTTGTGACTCCTCAGACTGATGAAGCCCTTTGGATGGAAGGGTGAAATGTCTCTCAAAAAAAAAAACTGTCCAGATGACCAGACTGAACATTGTTGGGTTTTTACCTGGATTATTGAGCATGAACTTTGACTTTTGTTTAAATTCACACAACAAATATTGTTTTATATCAACACTAAGCATTTCCGTTAGTTTTGTTACATCATTTGCCAATAGACAATATGATTTCACATAAAAAAGGCACTTTTTGAAAGAAAAGCACATTAACAAAAGCAACTAGAGCTGAAATGGGGAAACATGACAGTAGATGTAGTTGTAAATCATCTAACATCCAGAAACAAGGAACAAAATAACATCGACAATAATTAGAGAGGCAACTAAAGGGAGAGTGAAGAATAGGCTGGTATTTTTAAGACATCTACACAATAGGCAATGCTGCATGAGATGCTTCATTGATACAATTAATGAATCTGTGCAGCTTCCATTTATCTAGTTACTGTACTTATCTTTCTGGTACCCTTGACCACTGCCACGTCTTCTCACCCCAGTGGGAGCTGTTGTTCCTGTTGCCCTTTTCTTCACTCGGGCACAAGACTCCAGCTTCTGGAGACTCTATTAGGAAGTTAGATTTGTCCTTGGAAAGCTTCTCTCGATAACTTCTCTTGTCTTCACTCTCTCCAACCCTCTCCCACTCTGTTTCGTATGGACTCCTATTTTTCCCCCATTTGAAACTAGGGCGGAGGTCACAATGGCGAATTTGATATAAGAGCTGACATGCTTTCGTGGAGCACCGTGTCAACTCAAAACAATAGGTTTGCAGAAAGCTGTTATGCCGAATAAAGAATGTTCCATATTACTAAAGAAATGTCCTCCACTAGACGTTCCCAAAAGAGATGAGAATATTTGTCTGCATACATTTACCAGTCCTGGCCCAGCAGAAGATGGAGGGTGAGGTAAAATTAATTCATAGAACATTTGGGCAAATAAATTATACCACTGGGGGAGTAGAGAAAAGTTAACCACTTTGCATGTTAGAACATTTATCCTTCAGTTATTAGATATGGACTTTATGTTCTCAAATGATTTTTGATCTCTGTTCTTATTTGTACTGATTAAAATAAATCAGAGTTCTTGCAGTATAAAATGTTGCTGCTGTGTTAAGCTACAAATACTGTCAGTGCAAAGAAACAGATGTTGGTGGTTGCATAATGGCAAAAGAAAGAGCAGCTGGTTGTTAGGGTGTTCCGTGTTGTGATCATATAATCCTAATTTGAGCTGATGTCTTTGTTTTCCTACGTCTGAGCTGCCTTTTGGTAACTCCGTTTCTACTTTGAAACCCTTGAAAATACTTGAGTTTCAATGCAGATTTGTCGAGATGTTAAAAACGCTTGGATTTTGGATGAAGTGCGCTAAAAATGTTTGGAACTGAATTTAATTCGTTTGACATTTAACTCTTCAGATCTGCTGAACCATGTTGTTGTAGCAGGTGGGCATTTGTTGTTAAGGCTGTTGACACATTGTGAGTTTGAGGAGGATAATTGTGTGGTGCAGAAGTGTTGCCCTGCCAAAATACAGAAGAGGAATATATAATACTTTGAACTATTTGCAAAACATATTAAAGTGCAGCAAGACCTGCTGTATTAATTATCCTCTGCAGTCTGAGATTTTTCTGTATGCTTCCTGTAGTCCGCTGGCTTGTTGAACCTTTTTACCCAAAGAGGAGAAAGCTGAATTTGTGATACTAATGATATTATCTAACTTGTTTTTTTTTTTGCCAATGTAACATTTTAATTGACACTGTTCAAAAATGTATGCGCTGTAGAAGTTTTAACAAAGTACAATGGAGTATTTACAATATAAAATAATACAGTCTGACACAGTTGTACTGTAGTTGCTGCTGCCTCAGATACTGAGGTTTACAAGAATTTTGTGCATTTGCTTGCTGAGCTGACATTACCATCAGACTCGTATAAAAACAGTAGCACGGAGTAAAAGTTTGTTCAAAGGAGAAACTCCTAGTGAATCATTTTGTAGAACCCAGGGGAAAGTAAAAGGTGCTATAGACTACTGTAATACTGGATTTACAGTCATATGGATGACCATAGACCAATGCACCTGGTGTCCCTTTAGATCACACTGATGAAGTCAAAGGAAAGTCAGATTTAAATGAGTGGCAAAACATCAAAAGTATTAAATCTTGGTAAATAATTTTATGAAAACATATTAAACATTACGAATGTGATAAGAAAATATAATTTTGTTTCTTTATAACATAACAGCATATTCTTTTAGGTCCATCCATCCACACATCCATCCATACACCCATACACACACCCATCCATCCATCCATCCATCCATCCATACACCCATCCATCCATCCATACACCCATACACACACCCATCCATCCATCCATCCATCCATCCATCCATCCATCCATACACCCATCCATCCATCCATACACCCAAACATACATACATACATACATACA